GTAACTATTCTTTCCATGTATTGCAGAATTTACACGTGCCCTTGCCTTCTGGCAAATATGCATGTCTTTTAATATGGTTGTTTATAGTTAGCAACCCATTTTGGTATAACCTCCAAATCATGACCACAGCTTTAGGGGGATCTTTAAGTGCCAAATCTGGTTTGATATTGTATCCAACTCTAAACCAAATTTTATATTATGAAGGCTTTTATATGCTAAATTAACTACATACACCCCAATGGCCCCATGCAACCAGATTTGTATCTTGATGTCTTTAACTAGCTTAATATTTTGTAGTATGGACAATAGATTGCTCCATTGATTCTCTTTCCATACAAACAACCTCCTTCTCCACTTAAAATTCCAAACCCATACCTCACCAACCCAATATCCCATGTTTATTACTTGATCTTTTTGTAGCTTTGAGTTTTGGAAAAGCCTTGGGTGGGTCACAGTTAGGCATTGGTCTCCTATATGATTATCATGGCAAAATCTTACTTGCTCCCCTTCACCAACTTTTTATTCCATCATGTTATCAAACCATCTTATTTGGAGCTACCCCCTACATACCTTGTTCAAATCCTTTTCCACCATATTGAGGCATTTTTTTAACCTCTACACCATACAAATTCTCCCAAATACCATATTTGGAGTCAATTATTTCCCCCCAAATGCTACCCCTTTGATGAAATAAATATCGCCTCCATTTTCCCAACAAAGATACATTAAACTTTTATAGGACCTAAAATGGTGCAGGAACTGGTTTGAATGGGAAACAAGTCTAGCAAAATCATTACTGATAATTACTAATTTTTCTCTATAGAAAAGGTGAGACTAACTCTTGATATTGTTGCTTGGACTATTTAGGGTCTTCACGGTAAAAACAACATACATGTATATCTAATCAAAAAGGCTTGGGAGTTAGGTGGAAGATAAATTTCTACATATATGGAAAGTTAAGGTCCCTCCAAAGGTTCTAATTTTCATGTGGAGAATTTTCCAAAATGGCATACCAACAATAGATAACCTATCAAAGAGAAATGTGGTGTTAGATCAATAATAGATGTTATGTTCCTTTTGCAAACTAGACATATAATTTATTTCACATCTTTTGCACATGCAACATGGTGGATATATGGTGTGTGGAAGTAATGTCTTGCATGGTTAAATTTTCCTGCAACCTTACCTCAATATATATATGCTAAACAACATTTTTTATTATTTCAAGTCCCTTTACAATCTTGGAGGTGGAAAATTAGCATGTAATTTAGTGTGCTATAACATGGACTATTTGGAGGCATAAAAACCTTTATGTCTTCAAAGGAGGTTAGTTTGACGGGGATAAGCTTATGAAAGATATCATGTTTACCTCACGATCCTAACTAGAGATGATGCAAAAATAATTCTTATACTTTATTTGCTAGTGGTGCCTCAATTTGGGTCTTTGCATATTATTATAGAAACTAGTTCATGTGTGTAACACTCCTCAGTCGCACACTTTTTGAGAAATTTTTCACAAGGCCATCCATTCGTAAATAAGTTAAACTCAGTTAAATGTGGAGTTCTTTAGTAATCAACTCTAAAAAGTAGATACATCTTATTAATATAAGTAATACAAATTAATTCCTTTAAGTCATCTTCAATTGCATAGCCTCACATCTCTACAAATTTATGTATCCCTTCATTTCGGTGCATTCAGGTTGTTACAAGTGAATTAGCTTTCACTTGGTTCGTCCTAAAACCACACAATACTATGAGAGAGAACAAGACTCTAATATCATTTGTAACACCCCTCAAGTTATGACATTTTAGCGGCTCCATTTCATGATACTTCACACAATGATACTTCACACAAAACATCATTGATCAAAACCCTTCGCCAGTCAAAACTCTCCGTGGATAACCTTTTCTAAGATGTCCACCCACTCTTAGGATCATCAACTATCCCCATAAATCAAGACAAGGCTTTTTATGGTACTTTGTTCTCACTTGCATACTTTTTGGGAAACCTCCCAAAAGGTTAACATCCCTAATCGCTTTAAGTCAAACATACTTAACTATGGGTTCTTAAGTGATGAGCTCTGAAAAGTAGATGTATCTTATTAGTATAGGTAGTACAAATTAATTATTTTAAGCCATACTCAATTACACAATCTCACACATGTACAAATCTTTATATTTCTTCACTCTAGTGCGTTCAAACTATTACAATGTGTTGTGCAATAATTGACTATGTTGTATTCTATGTCTTATGTTTCTTCTATGGTAATGAAAGGGAGCTAAGATTTATTGGAGGAGTGAATATAGTATCATCACTCCTTTTTTTTTTTATATATAGTTAGGATGCACATGAGGTGGTGGTTATTGGTTGGAAGACAATAAGTGTTGGTGGTACAATGTGTTGGGTCCTTTGGTTAATCTAGTTTGTAGGCAACTCTTTATATTTTGTAGGTGCTTTTAAATATCATTTATGCAATTGTGGAGAAGAGGATGTAGACAATATTTTATGTCAAACTAGATTGATTACTTTCTACGACTAACAAATGACAAGTAAATACAAGTATTAGCAACAACTTTTTTTTTTTTTGAGAGCAACTAATGTGGCCTATAAACTGGAGCAACTACAAGAATTTTGCAACAAATTTCTTTCCATTTTACTTGAACAAGATTTGGCCCTTTGGATATGTAAATTGATTACTGTGCTCTATGTCAAAAACTTGAATTTCTCTTGTTGGTTTCTGGTTCTCTATACCAACATAAGAATAGTAGGATATTTAGTTGGGGTGGTGAATGATTGATTGGTTATCTTTTATCTATACTTTTCCAAAATATAAATACTTAGTAACCAAATGTATCAATTGATTTTGTTTTTGTCTAGAACACTTTATTTATTTGATGATCTGTATATGAGTTTTGGTATCTCTTGTACCAACTTAATATATTTTTTATTTGCTTACAAAAAAAAATTCTTGATATAGGTGAAAAATTCAAAGTTAGTATAAGAATATGTCCATATCTCTTAATACAACATGTTAATGCCTATAATTTGAAGAAAAGGTAAAAAAAAAAAATATGACCATATATTAAAAAAAAAAGTTAAGTTACACTTTTTATACTTATAATATTTAATCCATTTGATCCTTAATTTGTAATTTTGTAATTCAACTCATCAATTTTATTCTCAATTAAATATTCACCATTGACTAATAAAATTGTTATATTGTCAATGACATGAGATGAATGGATGTTATGACAATTACTATTAATAATATTTGGTTTAAATTAAACTTTAATATCTCATTTGTATATCATTTTCATTTGTCTTTTTTTTATTACTTTTATAAGTAAAAGAGAGAAGTAAAAGTGCAATTTAATCCAAATATTATTACCTCTAGTTAGGAATGTCAAAAAACTCGTATCCACATGTATTTGCGGATAAAATTTGCAACAAGTAAAAAAAAATATAGTAAATGGATACTCATAAGTAACGGGTACAAATATTTTTTATACTCGCATGTTAACGGGGAGGGTATAAGCATCATAGTATCTATACATGTGGATACTCATAACTGCTAATATTCAATTTATTTAGACTTGTATAAATTTGATTTTATTTGAACTTGTATGAATTTGATTTTATTTGAACTTTGTTTGGACTTATAATAGTTAAGTATTATACTTTATTATCTTTTATTTGGATTTATGTATAATCATTTAAGCTTCAATTTTTAAATCCACTTATTATTATTAATATAATTATGAGAAATATTTGAATTTTAATTTTATAATCTTCAAACTTTTTATGCAGATTTTATTTAAATTTTAATTATAATCTTCACCTTTTTTATATGCAAATTTTATTTTGCAAATTTTTATAAATTTTAAAAGGAAAAAAAAACTATTGTAAATAATTAAAGTGTATGGTTAAAAAATTTTGTTAAATATTTTTAAGATGTTTTTAGTAAATACTCGTCAATACTCATAAATATCTGTTGATATTGAAAAAATATGTGAATACTCACCCAACGAATAATTGTACAGATAGATATGAGAATAGATACGAAATAGATATTATCTACCTGTGATCCTAATTATAAGCAACAAATTAGATTCTTCTTCGATTTTAATTATACGCAACAATCATTAGTTTTTAAGTTATTCATGATTAAATTTCTTTTATATCGTTCATTTATTGTTAACAAAATTTCCTATACATTCATTTATAACTAACATTAAATAAAATAAACTTAAAATAAAAGGTATATTTGGAATAAAATTTGAATTTATGGTAAAATTAATTAAAAATAACTATATTAATTATTTTTTTTTATCTTAATGATTTACATATATTATTTATAATTAAGATCATAAATAATATTAAATGTTAATTTTATAATATTTACCTAATATGTCATGACATGATTAACATTACAATTTTATCAAAATCAATTAATGATAATTTAGTAGTGAAATTAAACTTGCAAATTTATAAAATAAGATGACAAAAATTATAGAATTATAAAATTAAAGAAATAAAATTGTAGATCGAATATCATAAGTAAAAAAAAAAAAAAGTAATTTAACTTAATAAAAATTACTTTGAGAAATTTTGAATAGTAGTTTTCAAGTGATGGTTAATTTCCATGAAAATAATCTCGTTGTGCTAGAAGACTTTCTTGCTTCTGCATTTAATACCTTCTTAAATTGCAAAATTAGTTCCATTCCGATATATTTAACTCTTTTAGCTTACCAGTTGGAGCTAATATATGGTATATATATATATATATGTCCACACGGTAACTAGCCATGTAAAATATTTCAGAAAAGGTTACCAGCTTTGAGCATATATATGGGTGGTCGAATTATTTTATTAAACTCGAGTTATGTATAAAACCAGAAATCGAGTAAACCGTCGAACTCAATTTAATATTTCTATAAATAAAGCAAGTAGAAATTAAGAAAGTTGGTGGAGAGACGCAAAGCAAAAACTATAATATATATAAGCCAAAATATTATTCATTTATTGATTTTATTCTATACTACTTTCTGTAAATCTCTTTCTTTTAATTATTATATAATATATTATTACACAGCAGATCACCGAAAGAAACCAACAGCAGCAGCAGCAGCAACCAAAACCATATATGGGTCATGTGATCGATATCCCTTGTGTTCATAACAATACATTACTCACATTCCACCAACAGCTTCAGAAGAACTCATTAATTCTCCAAGAGTGTGAGGGAAGCATTGTTAGCCTCGCCACCAGGTATCTTCCTTGCATTTACAGTGAAACTGATGTCATCTGCTATACGCTGTGCATCAAAAGAAATGCCATCTAATCCCCTCCTTGAAAATCCAGCACAGTAGAGACCATTTTCTCCCCTCCAGTGATTTGGAAAATCTGGCTTAGGCATTCCTTGCTCATTGAACAGATCTTGGTAATCCTGCATCAAAGTCACACAAATAGCAGTTAACATTAACACATTCTGAAATCTATCTACAATTCAACTTGTTGGGACAAAATTAATTATATGCCCTATATATGTATAATATATAGTATTGCACCTTAAGCCACTTGAGCACAGTGCTAGTGTATCCGGTAGCAAAGATTATGATATCAAATTCACTACTTCTCCCATCCTCAAACTCAACCGTCTTGCCTTCTATGCTTGAAACACCTGGGAAAACCTGGATGACAACCAAACCGATATGAGGAAATAATTAATATGAAATAATAATGGTGCTTGGAAAAAAAAACATATATATATATATATATATATATATATATAT